TACAGAAGCAAAAGCAAGTTCTTGCTAGACAGCTGAATCTAAGGCCTAGACAAGTTGAAGTATGGTTTCAGAATAGAAGAGCCAGGTAAAAAAATTATTACTTAATTAATTACCATATATAATTTGTTTTCAGTACTCGGATTTTTTTGTTGGTGGCATGTTCTTTAATATTGAATTGTCCGATACATATTTTGCAAGGTTATACGTGATTAGTTTGGTTAATTTTTTGTTCTTATACAATGAAATTTTGAGCAGGACAAAGCTGAAGCAAACAGAAGTAGATTGTGAGATTTTGAAGAAGTGTTGTGAAACGTTGACAGATGAGAACAGAAGACTTCAGAATGAGATTCAAGAACTCAAAACCCTAAAATTGACTCATCAGCCATTTTACATGCACATGCCTGCATCGACTCTAACGATGTGTCCCTCATGTGAGAGAATCGGCGGCGGTGGCGGTAACGGAGAAGGAGATGCCGGAGGAGGTGGCGTGGCTACCACGGTAGTCGTCGACCAAGGTACGGCCAAGGGAGCTTTCTCCATGTCCTCAAAGCCTCACTTCTTCAACCCTTTTACCAATTCCTCCGCAGCTTGTTGAATAATAGTAATTAATTAGTTTTCTTTTGATTACTTAATTATTAAATTTTTTTTTGGGGTGGCATTTAAATCTGTAGGAAGAACACAAGAAATATGCTAAAAAGGGTAAGATGGGTATAGATGGTCTCTTCTACAATTCCCACTTTGTTTTTCAGTGGGATTGTTGGTTTGGGAGAAAGAATAGTTTGTAATTATTATTTTATTTGTAGAAAATGCTGTAGTATTCACTCTAAATTTGTCCATGTTATTTTCTCACCTTCAAATTTCGTCTAGTAAAGTAATCATGTATGTACAATAACCAGCCAATAATTACTTTCTTCTGTATAATTAGATTTTATGTGGTGCTTCATATGTGATATATATTATCACAATTTTCTTTTCTTAAAAAGAAAGTATGTGTGACATTTAAATCGGGTTCAATTTATGTGATGATATGCTACACATATATTTTTTTTTTTTGTTAAAATATGCTACACATATACTAAACTACAAACCTCGATCTAAAACTTAATACTTTATACGCTAAAATACGACATCTATCTAATGGTAGGTCATATTTTCCATCATATTAAACAACTATAATTTTTCTTTTGATCTTTCCTATTATATCGTATGACCTTTCAAACTTGAATAATCTTAATTGGAATATATCTACAAAAAGAAAGAATCTTATATTAGATCATGTGAAAATATCTGGTAAGACTTCATCATAACAAAACAAATCTTACAAATTAGCTAAGGGTCCATTCATCATTCATCTAAACAAGGGAATGGTATCAACTTGGTTTGTTTTCCAACTCTTGAATCCAAAAATGGTAAGGAAAATTGATGGAAATTTTTTTTTTTCCCACCCAGAAATAAAATTTACATATAAATACCAAACTGATGGGAAATCTACACCTTTGAAAAGGGTATGTAATTTCAGTAGGCCCAAACTTTTCCCTTTTAAGTAAAATCCAAAATTGAGTTGTGGAATCAGATTAAAAATGCATTAATTGATGTGAAAGTAATTCTTTTACTCAAAAATACGATATTTATGTATTATCCAAAGAGAAAATTCAAAACAAGGAAATCATTAGATGGGTGTGAAGGACTCTAAGCGAGAGAGATAAAGGGTGTGGGGTTTGGAGGTTAGCTCACGTGTATTGATGCATCATTTTAAATTAACTTTTCAACACTGAAAGAATTTAAATTTAGAGTTAAGTGAATATATGAATTACACAAACAATAAGGATACTCGTTCTAATGTTTCTTTATACTTTTATTGTAAGTACTTAATACCTATTTAAAAAGTTACATTAATATATAAATTGAATACATAGCCGGTCCAACAAAAATATGGTCCAAAGTAAAATAAAAAATAAATAGTCACTTAAATATTTATTATTCAAAAAATTTAAACAATATTAGCTTACAAACATAATATTTCACAGATCCATTGTTATTTTCTTATATTTGTGCTCCAAACTTTTTTTATTTGTTTTTTTTAATGCATGTAGTCTTATCAATTTAATATCTTAAATCTAAAATATGGTACATAAATTAATAAAAATGTTGGTGGCCCTAAGCGATGGTTTAGTCCATTTGTTCTCTGGACCAGGACTGACTGATTATGAACAATATTGTAATCATTGATTTTAAAATTATGTCACCAAAAAATATATAAAAATCATAAGTAGTAAATATTATAAA